TGGGATTATAGTATTGGAGTGAATTAGGGGTGTTTATTCGACCCTAACACAAAAAAATATTTCTACGCTACTGCATATTTCAACAACTAATTTGTACGTTATTGAGTCCTTTTAAAATAGCTCAAACAAAATTTATAAATCCAGTCTCCATTTTTCATCAACCAAAAAAGTTTTTTGCTCGATTTTTCGAATTTGAACACAAAATTCATTTAAAAATAATGTGTATTTTTTTATATAAAATGTGTGTTCTAATAATTACACCAAAACGTTTTAAAATAATTTAAAAAGTTATACTTATCTACTATTCACCAAGGATAATAAATATTCGAGTACTTTGAAACATAAGATAAGATAAAAGGATGCTACCCAAAAATAACTATTAAAAAAATGTCGCAGAAATGAAAAAAAATGATCTAATCGGTAAATATAAATTTTTCATCCTCATCCATATTTTTACCTTCGGGTCAGCCTTAACAAAAAGCTTTAATTACAAAATATTCATACACACATAGAAAATAAAATTAATAGCATATGAATTATACATTTTCAACTTCAATGGCTCCAACTAAATATGATTTGAAAAAAAAAAATAAAGAATACTAATGTTAGAGACGTAAATAAAAAAAAAATTTATTAATTTTTTTTAACAATTGATAATTACAACGTGTCAAGTGTTAATCATCACTAATGTTACGCTAAAGTACAAATGTCTTAAAAAAAGGTAAAACCACAACAAACATAAAGAATTTTGATTAATTAAAAAACAAAATAGTGAGACAATACTTCTGGTTATGAAATATTCTATGGGCCAGAAGGATGCTCAATGAGATGGACACTAAATTTGAGATAAAAATAAAACAATATCACAGTGAGATCACAGTACAATGTGGACGTGGCATAGTTTGGTCAAGTATAATGATATCTGATAGTGATTAAAATCACTATCATAAAAAACACTTCGATGCATATCTTTAGATAGTGTTTAATTTTAAAATATATGTGGATTATTCCAAAAGTTACATGATTTCCTATTTCCTTATTTATATCCTGATTAAAATAAAGTATTTCGAATGAAAGAGTGTTATAAATATTATTTCTCATTTAAAAAATTGAATTGATCCATACACTTTTCAATAAGTTATAGCATTATAAAGTTAAAAATGTAAAATATAAAATCGAGAATTTTCACACAATAATAGTATTTGGTAGCCATTTTCACCGTGAAGACAAAATAAAGTCCAAAATTTTTTTTCCATAATCAAGTATATTATAAAATAAAGTATAAATATACCAAATGATAGGTAAAGGCATCATGCATCTATATAAAAAAAAAATTATATTGATCCATACATTTTTCAAAAAGTTATAGCATTATAAATTTAAAAAAATAAAAACGAATTTTTTAAAAAAATCGAATTTTTTTTATTAACTCTGGATATCTGTTTTCATCGTGAAGACAAAATAAAGTCCGAAATTGCTTTTTTCCATAATAAAGTATATTACATTAGCTTTAATTAATATATATATAAAAGTGTCAGACTTTCCGGAACATTTTCAAAAGTTAACCTTTTGTAAAAAAGTTGCCATTTTAAACCCCCCCTGTGGGAAGGTAAAGGGTCAAATTTATAAAAAAAAAATCACCAAATGATAAGTAAAGACATCATGCATCTATAAAAAAAAATTATATTGATTTGGTCATTTTTAAAAAAGTTGAAAAAATGTCAAAAATTAGCGATTTTTAAATTTGTAATTTTTTTGGAGATTTCCCCCATTTAAGGGGAATGATAGACATTTTTTTAATTTTTGAGTGTAATGTCTTCGACTAGATACGATTTGTGATCTTTTGACGTATCGTTGAAAGAAATCGGATTGGTGAGAGCTGAGAAAAAGTGATAACAGGCACAAAAAAAAACACATCATAGTAAAACTAATACTTTTACAGCTTCGCATCGAAGCTAATACAATAATTTATGTTACAAATTTAAAAAATCGTTTTAATAGCACTCAATTTTTATGTACTGGATTGATAAGTTCAATATAATTTAAAATATTAACTCTAAATTAAATTATTTTAATTTATATAAAATATAATAATAATAAATAATGTGTACGTATGAATACAATTATAAAATATCATAAACAACATGAAATATTTATTAGATGATGCGTTTCTCGTGCTCGATATTATATCAAACAACTTATTTACCACAATTCAATTCAGATTTTTGTATGAAAAAATAAACAGTTTTATACTTAATGACATCAAAAATCTTATTTAATAAAAGTTCATTACATTGTATTGTACAAATAAAAATTTATTTTCTATTTAGCAGTAAAATTGATTTAATATAATAAAAATATACATATTGGATGAAAATGTTAGGAATATTATTCATATAATATTCACTCAAGGACAATTGTTCAAACAATTTAAAAACTCATTATTTGTTTTCTATTAATACAACTACGTGTCGTTTTTCTTTTCAAATAGTCCAAAGTAATAACATTTTATATAGACAAATTGTATTGTCTAAGAAAGCAATTGATGCATCCGTTTTGAAATTCAGTTATAACTGAAATAACACTATGCAAACAAATAATAACATATGTCGCAAGCTGTGGACAATGTTAATAAACCTTAGAGTAATATACGGTCAAAACAGTTTGCCGGTATGCATTTTGGCTGACCCTGGGGGGGTTGAGAAATGGAAACGTTATCTGCGTCAGTACGATTGCATTATTATCGTTACAGAGAATGCCAAGTGACTTGGAAATTAGAAAAGTTTTTGCACGTAGTAAATCAACATCTCACTGGGATCAGATTATATATACTCTGGACGGCTAATGACAGTTGTTTCTACGTACCTGCATTACATGAAAATATATCATTATCCATTATGCATAGAGTCCTCAATGCATTTTGTACAAATGTGAACAAACGCATGAGGTGGCGACAGTTCACTGGAATATTCTTCTATTAGACATAACAAAGGGGTGAAACAATGATTACATTACTGTAGCGACTGACAGTTTGTTAGATGGAACATTCTTAAGGTATTTTAATCTTTTTAGACACGCATTCGACAGGTACCATACAATCTCAAAACTGGTAAAATGATGTCGTTCAATTTTAAACGAAACTCCTACTCAAAGAAATAATGAAACAAAATGACACGTGTCTATATTATAATATACAATCAGTTAGCCAATATAATCAATAAATTATATATTTAATTTAATTTATATTTTCTAATATTATAGCTAAGCCTTAGCAAAGTATCGATTAATCATTGTTCGTTTGCGATAGTATCGATTATACCATTATAACCGAATATCGATTAATCGAATACACCAATTATACCGACACAATCGAAGCATCAATTTCGAATATGGTAATCAAGGACGTATTAAAAAAATTATGATGGCAGAGCACGAAAAATTGTTTTTCATAGATAAAGTAGAATAAATTTAGATGACTTCCTTTTGTTAAAATAGTCCGTTGCGTCCTGTGAAGGTGACTGGGTAGGCACTTGTCACTTTTAAAAAATTCATGTTATTAATTTCATTAGTCGTTCACAAAAATTAAATTGGTGTGAAATACAACATACTATATGGGGTTTATATTTTTTATATCACTTAAAAGTATTTTCATTAGTCTTCACTGTGTTTTACCTTTAACAATAAAAAGTAAAATATTTTGTATTATGGATGCCAATTTTTGACAAGTGTCTAGATTTGCATTTTTAAAATGTGTAAAATTTAAATATTAGAATTAATATAATTTTTTTATTATAGTTAAATAAAATTATAAGTACGAAATTGTGTTGTAATTTTTTTCTATCTTATTATCAAGTTAATAACAGGATTTCTCATTAAAAAAAAAACATTTAAGATGTTTTGTAATTAAACAAATGAAAAAATAATAATTTAACTACACGTTATTGAGTTTTCTTAAGCTAATATTTTTTCTGTTTATAAAAATGTTAAATTATCGATAATTTCTGAGGAAATGAGTGTTTTACCGAATTTTGATCACTCTGTATGAATAAAGTTGTCAATAGTTACATTGAAATCGCAAGCGTAATGAATGAAATTTTTTTAATCGTGTGGTTTATGATAAATTGATTGCTGTGAATAACTTGAATTTATTAACTTGTGTTAATAAATACTAATGGTAAGTAATAAAGTATAATTTATATTAAAATATACCACTATATTTTCGAAAATTACAGTAATTTTATTTAAAATGTATTAAATAATTTAATTTCAAATAATTTTAATTGTACATAAAAAATTTTTATAGAACTACAATAGTTGAAATTATCACACGATATCTTCATAACGTCCAATAAAAACTTGTGTATGTTAGTTCAGTTATTATATACCCATTGTATCTTTCGTGACAATAAAATAAGAAAATTAATAATAATAAATTAAATTAATTTCAATTGAAAATAATATTTTTAGGTGTATTTTTTTATTTTATTCCAATATAAACCTAATATCAGTTACTCTAAAAGAAGTTTCACTTCATCCGCGCGTACTCTTAACACGCACTGTTTTTTTTATATTTAAAGAACCTCCATGTATGTTAAAAATGGGAGTTTTTTGTAAAAAATCACCGTTTTTGTGTTATTATAATTTATTACTTAAATTTTTTTAAATTATTTATCTTTATACTTTAGAGCAAACAGTAAAGTCATATAGGATGTGAGCTATGTACTCCCTTCACAAAAAAAAAAAATATAATAATGAATAAGATTAAGTGTTAATTATAAATATTCTCAGAGAGGATTTTTATGTGAATCAAATATGTATTTTTAAAGGAAGGTGCTGCCCCTTCTGATTAAATATTAATTTATAGGTTTTAAGTACCCTGTATTTTAAGAAATCAGGTCACATTTAAAAATGTTGCTTATTCTTTACATTATTAAAAAAAACATGTACCGTTAAAAATTTGCAAAAACAGTTGGTTGAAATCACATATAAATCTGAGTTAAATGACGTTAAAAATAATAAGTAGTACTCTTACATTTTTTTCAATAAGAACACTGTATTAATTTAATTTAAACAATAATAATTAATACTATTTTATATCATCAGAGGATGATTACATTTATATTCTATTTTACTATTGTCCTGTTGAGTTTAATTGGTACAGTATAGTTTTATCTTTTATTATCTTCGTTGCTAATCTTTTATTGGAAATATGTATTAAAAAATGACAATTAATTTTACACGTTTTTATTAATTAAAAAAAAAATAGAATCTATTTAGTATTGATAATATTACCTCTTAATATAAATTTTTTTTTAAACATTTTATTTTATTTACTGAAAATTCTAATTCTTGACAGATAAGTTTTAAGTGCAAAAAGTTGATGACTTTTTTTATCACTTTTATTTATTATTATCTATTATTTTAATTAATTATAAATTTAAAATAGCGAACTTTTAAATTTTGATTGATTTTCTTTTCAAAAACATTAAACATATCATAATTATTTTTAAAATAGCGTCTTTATTTTAAAAAATAAGTATTTTAATAATAGGGCATGGTTTAAAAATCATTGTAAGGTATAATAGTCAACCCCAAATAGTTGAGATAAAGGCTTTTTTATGTTATAGTAATTTTTTTTTCTAAATACGCCTCTAGACTATGCATAAAAAATAAAACAGCTTCTATCAATACACTTTATAATATAAGACGTGTGTTCAGAAAATAACAGGAAGTATTTAATTTTTTATTTTGTAATTAGTCGTTAAGCTTAGACAAGTTTTTATGAGCTCGGCGATTTTCGTTTTTTAAAGAAATGTATTAAAGGATTTGTATCAATTTTTGCATAAAAAATAAAATAAAGCGTGACAACCCGAAAAGATGCCCGGATTTGTGACAAAACAATTCACGGCTTTTGCATCATGAAAATGTACCTGCTCATGTTTAATTACTTGTTCGTTAATTTTTGGCCAAAAACAATACTTTAACGATGCCCGAGCCTCCATATTCTTCGGATATGGCTCCGTGTAACTTTTTTCTGTTTCCAAAATTAAGAAAACCTTAGAGGGCCGTTATTTTACAAGCATAGACGACATCAAAAGCACATAGTTGAATAGCTGATGGCTATGCCAAAGATGGAATTTGAGAAGTGTTAGAGTTGGCACAAGTGCATAATATCTAATATGAACTTTTTTGAAGGCGACAACATTTATGTAGACAATAAATACACCTAAAACAATTTCTCCTGATGATATTTACTACGCAAATCACTTCGTCAGTATATTTCCTAATTTCACATTTAATTAAAATTATATTTTAAAGAAAAATATTTTCCGAGTTTTATATTTAATACAACGTTTAACTCTAACCCTGCATTATTAAAATTAATAGTTTTAAGGTAATTGGTTTTACATAAAAATAAAATGTAACACTTAATTTAAATAACTTTTATATTTTAAATTAATTTTAAAACTATACAAATGAAATAATTTAACATAACAATTAATTCAATTTTTTACAGGACAAACACAAATAAAAGGATGTTTTATTTTTAAACACAAAAAATCAGATAACGAGATTAAGCCTATATGTAATTAAAAATAATTTTAACCTTAAGATATATTTTTTTTCTTTATAAATGTCAAAATTAGATTACAATTTAAAAGCTATATAGTTTTCTACAATAAATAACATATATAATTAGAATATATTAAAATAAAATAGTTTGACATGAGTACATGATTGATGTGTCTCATAGTTAAACCACCTAAAAATTAATTAATTTTGTTTACTGATTAAATGAATTACTAATTATGAAATTTTCTTGTAACGACTTATAAAAAAATTATTAGATCAGTTTCTTTTTAAAATAATTCTGTAAAATTTTGGGTGAAGTATTGGCTACTCATTAAGAGAAAATTTCGATTTCGCGTGACTGTAGTCTGAATGGAAAAGTGCTGAGTAGAGGTTTTTGTAATTATTTGATCTTTGAAATTCATACATAAAAAAACATGAAAAAATTATGAAAATATGGCCATAAAAATTATAAAATGCACAAAAATTGTAATTTTTTAAATATAACTTTTCCATGTTGATAATACATATAATAGCAATAAAAAAAAACTATATATAATTGACTTGATTAGAATTTTCTTTAATATTAATCTTGCACAATATAAATTATGTTTTAATAAATTTATGAAATAGTGTAATCTTTACTTAATATTATAATTTTCAGATGACCCAAAATGGAAATTACCCAAAAAAATACTATTTTAAAAATCGATAATTTTCGACATTTTTTTTTTTTAAATTGCTATAACTAAAAATATAACACAATTTAAATTATGTATTTCTTATGTATTAACACATTTATAAAACAGTATAGTTTTTACATAATAATTTAATTTTCAGTTGACCCAAATGATACAATAGATGGTAATTAGAAATTTATTAATACATATTGGTATATTTATTATTAAATGTAGATTTATGTAGATTTGAATTATTATTCACATTATAAAAAAATAATTTAGACTGGTTATTAAGTTTGGACTCATTTTATTTCGAAAGTTATAACTACTTTAGCATTGATGAATAGTATTTAGACTAGACATTACTTTTAAATTAAAAAAAAATGTTCTATGTTTCCTTAAATGGAGGAAATTTCCTAATAAATCATTTTTTTAAAAATCGTTAATATTTGACATTTTTTTTCTTAAAACTGCTTTAACTAAAAATATAACACAATATAAATTCTGTATTTCATCATTTATAAAACAGTTAAGTATTTACCTAATATATTAATTTTCAGTTGACCCAAATGTTACAAAAGACGGTAATTAGAAATGTATTAACATACATATATTGGTATAATTTTATTTAATGTACATTTGATCATAATTCACACTATAAAAAAATAATTTAGACTGGTTAGTAAGTTTGGACTCATTTTATTTCGAAAGTTATAACTATTTTAGCATTGATGAAAAGAGGTATTTTTTTACTATGTTGTGTTTCTTTTTTATTTATTATTTTTTTTTTTTTGTTTTGTCTGTTACCACTTATTTTCAGTACTCAATGAATTTTGATGAACAATGTGTCAAGAGATCTCAAATAGTATCTAGAAGAGACATTACTCCTAAAAATTTAAAAAAATTCTTATGTTCTCCTTTAACAAAATAAAATTTCCCAAAAAATCGATAATTTTGGACATTTTTTTTCTTAAAACTGCTTTAACTAAAAATATAACACAATATAAATTATGTATTTCATCATTTATAAAACAGTAATTTATTTACCTAATATAATAATTTTCAGTTGACCCAAATGTTACAAAAGACGGTAATTAGAAATTTATTAATATACATATATTGGTATATTTATTATTATATGTACATTTGAATTATTATTCACATTATAAAAAAATAATTTAGACTTGTTGATAATTTTGTACCCATTTTATTTCAAAGTCATAATGTAAATACATTATAAAAAAATAATTTATATTTTCCCTCGTTCACTGTAAATAGTGGAAATGTACAACAAAATTTTAATTTTAAAAATCGGTAATTTTGACATTTTATCAATTTTTTTTTCTTAAATCTGCTATAATTTTTTGATAAATGAACTAACCAAAATTACATTATTTTATTGAAACCTTAAGTGATGCCCTTTAATTTAATATTTTTAAAAATCTGACACTTTACTTGCTCATAGGAAAGAATTCAAAAACTTTTTTTACAAAAATAACCATTTTCAACTTAACTTATAAAATTTTCTGGAAATACTCCGTTCTTTAAACATATGTTAAATTAAAGCTTATGTTACATACTATAAATTAAAAAAAAAATTGATTCTTCTTCGTGTAAATGACTGCCGTAGTAGAAAAAAAATAAGAGTTAATTTTGCTTTTGGAATAATCCACCAATTTATTAAAATTAAACATTATCTACATATTTACATTGAAGCGCTAATCACCGTCTGATATCATCTAAACTTGTCCCAACTATGACGTAACCTCTCTGATAAAGTTTTTTTGTTATAAAAATTAAACAACATTTATTCTTTATTTAATAAATGATAAAATAGTAATAAAACTTCAAGTTACACAAGGAAAAAGAGAATTCACAAGCAGCTTGCTATTTTGTAAAATTAGATTAAATTTTTAGTTACATTTGAGTATACATTAATCAAAATATTTAGTTTTATTTAAAGTAAGATAATGCAAAATAGATAATAACAGTTTACACATATTTATGACCATAGTAAAATTTGTTATCTGTCTTATTTATAAATAATATGAAAAATATTTCAAATGGTTACAAATAGAAAGTATTCATCTATTTTGAAATCTAAATGCTATAAATATATTTATAATATAAACTTTTAACATACAACAATTGTATAGATAATTTATGTAATATATGCTGTATGGAGAAAAAATCAGTTACATTGCTCCCCTGTGGTCACACTGTAGGAAATTTTTGCGCAAATAAATTCTCAATAAGCAAAACTGATTGTCCTTTTTGTACAATAAAAATAAAACAATTTGAAAACATGGGTATGTAACACAATCACGTGCAATTAAGTTAATTTTTTACACTATTTTTTAAAAATAATTAATCTATGAAATATTAAAATTTTATGTTTTTAGTTAATTTGTCAGATATAGAACTTGATGAACATAACCCGTATCGATTTCGTCACCTTACTGAAAAAGAATTAAATCGTTTAAAAGAGAAACTTAAAAATGGTATGACTGATGAAGAAATTATAGCACGTTTTTGGTTTCTTCAACGTGGCCAAGAACCTGATAGAGATCTACTGAAAGACATTAAAAATTTAAAAAAACTTGTTAATAATAAAGAGATCGCGTGTCTAAAGAAGGAACTTTTGTCTAATATATCAAATGAAATTGTTTTGTATCGCAAAAAGTTTAAAAATTTTTTAAAAAATGATGATGAAGAAGCCATGTTAGTGAAATATTTTCAACGATTACTAATAACTGATATTGTCGAAAATATTACAAAACGAAAAACGTACACTAATACCTTACCCGAATAATTATTTATTGACTTATTAAATTAGTTTTCATGTACCACATTATAAAATTTTTTTTACTAAATTGTGTAGTAAAACTTAATGAAATTTATATCTAATAGCACAACGAATCTTAATATTTATTGAAACTAATAGTTGTTTTGTTTTTGATCGAATATAGTTTTAGCACACAACCTAAATTCAACATAAGTTTTAATTTTTTTAAATAAATAATTAAATATGTTTTATATATTAATATTTTTATGTAAATATCTTAGGGATAATTTAATTTTAAGTTAAAATTACATCTCCTTCATGGTTTTTTCATTAATTAAAATATAATGTTTGGTGGATGAATATAAAATTTTTTAGATAAACTATTTATTTTTTCAAATAAAAAAAAAACGCGAAACAAAAAATGTCAATTGTCTGTATTTTTACAACAATTTGGTTAGGAGGGCGTCAAAGTACTTTTTTTGGTGCATCAAAAAACATCTTGGAAGAGCAATAATTCTGGATAAACAGGTGCTCGTAGAGATATGATTATAACATCAAATTAAATATGACAACATTATCTACATATTTGCATGGGTGATTTTTAATAAAAAATTTTTGAAAAATTGTATTTGCCTTCAAAGTTTATATTTTTAAAAAATTTTTTAAGTTTGTATAAATTTGATTTATCAAACATCGCTCATGTTCACATGTAGATAATTATGTCATGTTTAATATAACATATTGATCACCTCCCTATAAACATCCGTTCCTCTAGAATCGTTCTCCCGAGACAACTTTTAGGATATTTGTGCAATTATTTATGCCGTTTATAAACGCACCTATTAGAGTCTGTTGCAAACCTGAGACCATCGAAGGCGGCGGCGACTTCGAAAACCAGTTTGATAACATCAGGAAATTGCTATCGTTCAAGCAGTGACGAAAACAATAATAATTGTATTTTACAATGAGCAATGTTTTCTAATTTACTAATTTTAGCTTCGATGCGAAGCTGAGAAGGTATTAATTTTACTATGATGTGTTTTTTGTGTCTGTTACCACTTTTTCTCAGTTCTCACCGAACCGATTTCTTTCAACGATACGTCAAAAGATCACAAATCGTATCTAGTCGAAGACATTACACTCAAAAATTGAAAAAAATTCCCTCGTTCACCGTAAATGGCGGCAGAAACCTCCAAAAAAATTACAAATTTAAAAATCGCTAATTTTCGAAATTTTTTCCATTTTATTTACTTAAAACTACCATAACTTTTTCAAAAATGAACAAATCAATATATATATATATTTTATAGATTATGATATCTTATCTATTATTTGGTATACTTTTTTTTATAAATTTAACCCTTTACCTGCCCACAGGGGGGATTCAAAATGACAACTTTTATACGAATAATTAACTTTTTCAACTAATTTTTTGAAAGTGTTTCGGAAATACTGACACTTTTATATATATTTTAAATTAAAGTTTATGTAATATACTTTAATATACTTTAAAAAAAAAAAATTCTGAATTTATTTTATCTTCAAGGTGAAAATAGCTACTGTATTCAAAAATATGCTATTTCTGTGTTAAAATTCTTGGTTTTGTATTTTATTTTATTATAAGGGTATTACACTGATTTTCATAAATATTATATTAATCTAATTATAAAATCTAATTGTATAAAAAGTTAAACATATTTAAATTATTTTGTTTCTTTGAAGTCGAGAAAAAAAATAACTTTAAAATTTGAACTAGCTAAATTTCCATTTTTATCAAGTGACGAATGTGAGGTACGATAACGGTAACACTGTGGCACTGAATTTTTTCTTAATTCTTTTTGAGTTAGAAAAAGTGTTTAACTCATTTGATTTTTATTTCATTTAGATTTAATAACTTCAATAAATATCATGGATACCATTACTATAGTCTCCTCTCGTGAGAAGAAATTCATATTAATATTATTTTACTATGTGTTTTTTTTTGTAGCTATCATTTATTTTCTCAGCTCTCACTTGACCTACTATTTTGACAAATTTTTTTTTTTTAATTAAACACTATCTACAGATTTACATCGAAGCGTTTTTTATGATGGTGATTTTAATCACTGTCAGATATCATCTATACTGGATCAAACTATGCCACGACCCCACTGTATCCCCACTCCAATGTCCTGGGTTTTTGTTATTTTTCTATACCACAGCTTGTAATTGTTCATCACTTGTGTTTTTTTTTCATTTAAATACCTAAGGTATTTATAAAAAATATATATAATGATTCGATTACTTTTAAAATAGTTATGGCGATTTTAAATAAAAAATAGTAATTTTTTAGTAAATTTCCTCTATTTAAGGGAACATAGGAAATGTTTTTAAATTTAAAAGTAATGTCTAGTCTAAATACAATTCATCAATGCTAAAGTAGTTATAACTTTCGAAATAAAATGAGCCCAAACTTACCAACCAGTCTAAATTATTTTTCTATAGTGTGAATTATAATGAAATGTACACTAAATAATAAATATACATATATATGCATATTAATACATTTCTAATTACCGTCTGTTGTAACATTTGGGTCAACTGAAAATTAATATATTAGGTAAATACTTTACTGTTTTATAAATAATGAAATACATAATTTATAATGTGTTATATTTTAGGCCAGTCAATAAAGAAAAAATGAGGTAAAAATTCCCAACCAAATTTTTTGTTTAAAAAAAGTTGAATTAAGGTATGGATAATGACATACTAAAAGTCCTCATTGATTGGGATTTAGATTTTTTTTACAGCCTTGCAAAAGTTCAAAAATATGAGCTTTTTTAATTTTCTCAAAAAATATTTAACATACAAAAAAACGTTTCGTACAAAAGTTGTTTAAAAGACAATTTTTAATAAAAAGTATATCTTATATTTTTTCATTTAAACTAATATTTTTCGAGTTACTTTACATTTAATATGAGTACTATAATTTAATTTCCATTCTTTACATTTTACAGTTACTTTTTATCATGTTATAATTACATTAGACACAATGTTATAAATGAATATGTGTGTATGTGTGTGTTTATTTATTTATTGTATCATTAAAGTGTAGTGTATATTAAGATAGAACTGATAGAGTAGGTAATTGATTTGACGCTAGATTGTTTAAACCCAACCAAACACTAAATTATACATTTCCAAACAACAATTATATTATATCAATTGCCAACGTAATTTTGTATATTAAATATTTTTTTAGAAAATTAAAAAAGCTCATATTTTTGAACTTTTGCAAGGCTGTAAAAAAAATCTAAATCCCAATCAATGAGCACTTTTAGTATGTCATTATCCATATCTTAAATCAAACTTTTTTGAAACAAAAAAATTGGTTGGGAATTCTTTCCGCTATTCGCCAAAGTTAATCCTTTGTTGACTGGCTTATTATGAGTATAATACATAAATAAATACTATAGTTATTAATTTTAGTATGAAATGGATATTCAATAATTTAATAATGTAATTTTTAGGGAAAAATCATAATAAATTATTTAGTAGTTATATATTTCGTTACTACTATGCCAAACGTATAAAATATAGAAGGGCTTGATGCAAAACTTTTCAAAAACTAAATTTTTGTTAATTATGAACACTGGTCTACTTCTTATCGATTTAAATCAACTCTTTTTTTGAGATTATCACTAATTAGTAATATTTAAATATAAAAGAATAAATTTAAAACAAAAAAAAATATTTATTTTCAAATTATAATTTTTAACGTTTTAAAAATAATTTGTGTAAAATATTAATTTAAACTATCATAGTTAACCTATTTTTGAGTTTTTTAAAGTTAATTTTTATGAGAGTTCATAATTTAAAAATGTAAATTTTTCAAGCTCCTTATTAGCTCAACTTGTAAGTTTGAAATTTATACCATTAAATAGAGGATTTTATGAGGATCTAAAAAATAGTATTATTTAGTTTGTTATGTGGTCAAAAACTTACATAATTACTATTAACAGTAGATTTATGACAAAAGCAGTTTCAACATTTTGTTAAAATCACTATTTTTTAAAATTTTTATCGAAATATATCATTACAATAGACATGATATTAAATATCTACGTAACTATTGATGTTTCAATAGATGCTACAATTGAAATATTAACGACTTTATTAATTTCTTAATTATTCAATAAATATTTATATAGTGCACATAATACATTCTGCTTTTAACTTACCGTGCCGCATTAAATTCGATGAACGTAAAAATGTATAGAATACAAATGATTTAGTAATAAATTTCAAACAAAAAAAGTTCTAATACATATTTTCTAAAATCCATAATTACCGTGATAATTAAAAATATCTTTTAATTTTTATAACGTTGTAAAATTAATACATTTTTGGCTATTTATCATGTACACACCAGATAAAAAAATAATAAACATTCTAATGCTATATAAAATACATAGTGTTTTTAATAAGAGACTACGGAAATTGGAGGGGTCTTCCTTATTAGCTCTAACACATTTTTGCTTCATTTACTATACTTTTGCTTTCATTACCTTCAGCTGTTTTGTAAAAACGATTGTCTGCCTTCTGGTAAGAATACTTCTGCACACTGTAGTGATGGATACACATCGTACGAGGCGAGTGTCCTATCTGCAGAAGACATAGTTTTTCCACGAACGCCACTGCTCATCTCACACTGTTCACTCATGGAAATTTCCGTCTTCTCATAGGCAGTATTAGTGCACTGCTGTGGTCGATTCATGTCTAGGGCCACTCGTACAAGACGAGTACTCTATATTTATGTGCTGTCGATGCTTAACACTACAACGGGTTAAGTGTAACTACTTGCGCATTATTCACACATTAAGCTACGCGACGCAACGCATAAACTAGTATTTGGTTTAACCAGAGTAGGTAATTTTACGATTTGGCTATGGCGACATAAGATTTATTTTTAAAATCACTATTTTTTGTATTTTTATCGTAATAAATCATTACAATATAATAAAAATCACTATTAGTGCCGATTTCCAATTACGAAAATGGATAGCAAATGAGCCGTCTTGTTTCAACGATAACGAATATAATTAATCACCCGTATTATTTTATGAACATTGACGGTAGTGCAATAAAAAAGTTAGGCCTTTTGTAGTGTTCACAGAATGATTATTATGAAAACATAACATGTTTTTTTCATATTTAATATAATGACACCGAACGAATCAAGTATCAACCCATCTTTAAATGTGGAAAATTATATAATATAGGAAAAATATTTCACCAACTATGACTTATTTGACCGGTAGAAATATCAGCAATAAAATAACATAACACTATGACCAATGAAAATAGAGTGAGACGAAGAAGTGTTTCAAGATATCAAAAAATTAAAAATACCACGTAGAACAATTAGTTCAAGTGACAACGTGTGCGATTTACAAATTGACGTCTTTGTTTCTATAAGTGCGTACGGATCACGTGGTTATCTAATGGAGAACGACTGGTAGCGTATAGTTCAACTAATTGCGGTAAAGTCGCTCCGTTAAACATTATTTCACTTGAACTTTATGCCGTCGAATTGTCAGTGTGTCTCGTCCATAAATTGGTCTATTAAATTAGTTACAATATAAATTAATTAAAAAACATGATTGTTAAATCAATAAAATATGATAATGGTCAGAATCAAAAATCGTTATCGCGAGGGTGAAATCTTCTCAGTGATAAACTTTTGCTTCTCACTATTTCGAAGAAATACTTATACTATCAAGCACAAATGTACTATAATTTTTTGTGTATCTGAGCTAGATAATCTTATTATAAGTATTTTATTTTACATATAGAATTTTCATATACAATTGTATTATCAAAGAAAAATACCGAATTTTAAATTAAAAATTTTTCCTAAAACTTCCCTAATTAAAGGGTCTTAAATTTTCAAATACATTTTATTTGTAATATTTTTCTCGAGCTATTACAGTAAACAAAATTGATTTTATTTATTAAAATTTTGTTTTATTATATTATTGAAAAAAAAGAATACACAGTATAATTTCTATGATTTCCCACTTGTACAGGAAACCTTAAAGTTTGGGGTTTCATCTTACATCATTCCTTAAATTAAACGATTACTCATTTTTTGTTGAACTTGGATAATAATAACAAGACATCAATACTATCAAGTGTTAAGTTTTTCATTCGACTATAAATTTTACTATCGAAAGTATGCTATTATTATTGACTTTCGGTTAATATAAATAAAAATAATTAATAGAATTTATGCTATTTGTATAAACCAAATATATGTTTTATCACATACGTAACACTTAGACTGAAATAAATAGTGATAAAACTGATCGAATATTAAAAAAATTGAAAATTTATTGAACATACTTAGTTGAATAAATCTAATATTAATAACTTTAAAGAAATAAATTATTAAACGACAGATGCTTAATCATAATAGTTTACATAATTATTTTAAATAAAACACAGTATAAAAACGTATCTTTTGACATTACGCCGAATTATATTTTGATCAAAATAATCCAATCATAATTAAATTTAATTATAATCCAAATGATTTCATTAAAACTCGCCAAGATAGGTTTTATATTATTTTCTGTGATTTTCTGTACGAAATCTAATTCAATTTCAAGAAAAAACATGGATCAGTTAGATAACTTACTACGGTGTTGCGGATGGAAAAATTTAAATGAGTTGATCTTCATAAAATATTACAATAAAGAACATTATCTTCAAAATTTGATGAAAATACCAACAGACCGCAATAGTTGTAGGCAAAAAATACGAGCTTTGACTATATATCTTGGATGTATATACGCAAATGTTGTGAATAATATTCTTCCTATTATTAGCAACATTGTTATAATTTGTCAAAACAAATTCACAGAAGAGAACGACTTAATAAATGGATTTATTTGCACTGAAGAACTCATAAACATAATATCCTTTTTTATTGTTCCGTTAGCAACATTGATGGAAGGCGCCATGGATACTTTGAATTCATTACATTCCAATCCTTTGTCGTTAGAGAAATATAACTACATGATAAGGCCTCTATTTACAAGAATTAGAAATATTCTTGAATATTTAAACAAACAAACTCTATCACGAGACGATATTTCTACATACATTAAGAAATTAAATATTGTAGATAAATATTTTAATATTACAATATTACAGGTAAATAAAGAATGCAAAATTTATTGTGAATTTGTTTCTCATTGTAAGGATTATTTATGGAATGACTGGAATCTAGAATATACAGCAATAAGCCAAGACATAGAATTAGTATTTTTCAAATTCTTAAAGAGTAAAATTGAAGATTATATCAAGACAATAATTATAGAAAAGTATTTTAATCTGGGGTTTATATTTGATCCAATCACAGAAGAAACGTTTCTACCACTGGCAAATGAGTCACTTGAACTAGGTATTTAAAATAAAAATTATTTTTTATAATATTAACCAAATATTTATACACGTTTTTTAATTTTTTGAATTTAGAATTGGAATTTAAAGCAATTGGTGAAAAGCCTCCAACGGCAATAAAAATAGAATATCATTAAATGTTCTAATAAAATAAAATTTGTTCTTTATTCATATTTTATAATAAATTTCAGTTCACATAAAAACATTTAAAATTTTTAAAGAACCATTAAAATCTAATTATATGTAATTATTTTTAGTAAAAAAACAAATAAATGATAATTAAAGGATAATTTTAAACATAATATTAATTAAATAAATATAGACACTGGATATATTAAATTTTAATCATTTTTATAAACCACTCATGATTTATTGTTTGATAAAAATTTTGTCACATAATAAAACATTAAAAAATTGGCCAAAGCTAGAAAAAGTACTAAACGATGTCCATTTAAAAAAAAAATTGTAATGAATAATGTATTTTATGCATTTTACTTTTAATTATGATGAATAATTACTAAGTAGTTTTTGATATGAATACTATATTAAGTCTTATTATAATAATTAAATGTTTATATGAAATAGATATTAAATAATTTAGTATTGTAAATTTTACTCAGAAATTATAATTAATTAAAAAGTTGTAGCATTCAAGTTAATTATTAAATTTTAGACACTGGATTAATCTTAGAATAATAACTATATTAAGAAATTTCTTTTTGGTGTTTTTTTTTAAATTTATATATTTTTTGATTTATTAATTATTAAGTTTTTTTTCATTTTATCCTTATACCTTATAATGGTATCATCTTCATATTAGCTTCGGTGCGAAGCGGAGAACTTTTTCTCAGCACTCACTGGACCGATTTCTTTCAAAAATACGTCAAAAGATCACAAATCGTATCTAGTTGAAGACATTACCCTTAAAAATTGAAAAAAATTCCCTCGTTCCCCGCAAATGGGGGAAACCTCCAAAAAAATTACAAATTTAAAAATTGCTAATTTTCGAAATTTTTTCACTTTTTTTCTTAAAACTTCCATAACTTTTTGAAAAATCAACAAATCGACATAATTATTTTTTATACTAAAACCTTAAAAATTTACCTTTCATTTGATATCATTTTTTTGAAAATATATCACTTAACCTGCTCATTGAGGGGGATTTAAAATAGCAAATTTTTACAATAATTAACTTTTTCAACTTGATTTTTGAAAATGTTCCGGAAATACTGCGTCCTTCAAACATATATCAAATCAAAGGTTATGTTATATACTATCAAATGAAAAAAAAAAATTTGTCCCGACATCTTATCTTCTATGTGCAAATGGCTGTCGAAAATTTAAAAAAAAATGTAATGTTTGCGATAAAAATTACATTTTATCGGGATGTTTTTTGTACTTAAAACTGCCATAACTTTTTCAAAAATGAACAAATAAAAATAATATTTTTTTGTATTGAAACCTTAGATATTTCCCTTTCATTTGATATAATTTTTTTTGAAAATCTAACACTTATTCTGCTCACTGGGGGGATTTAAAATAGTTATAGCATAAAGTTAAAAACATAAAAAAGAATATTTTTACAAAAATCGTATTTTTTTTATTAAGTTTGATGTCTGTTTTCACCTTGAAGATAAAATAAAGTCCGAAATTTTTTTACCATAATAAAGTATATTACGTTAGCTTTAATTTAAGATATATATAAAAGTGTCAGACTTTACGGAACATTTTCAAAAATCAAGTTGAAAAAATTAATTTTTTGTGAAAAAGTTGTCATTTTAAATCCCCCCCTGTGGGCAGGTAAAAAGTCAGATTTATAAAAAAAATATACCATATGAAAGGTAATGATATCATGCATTTATAAAAAAAAAGAATCATCTTGATTTGTTCATTTTTGAAAAAGTTATGGTAGTTTTAAGTAAAAAAAATTGAAAAAATTTCGAAAATTAGCGGTTTTTAAATTTGTAATTTTTTCGGAGGTTTCCCCTATTTACGGAGAACGAGGGAATTTTTTTCAATTTTTGAGGGTAATGTCTTCGACTAGATACGATTTGTGATCTTTTGACGTAT